AGTACCGTGCCATATGTCCGGGTTGTGAACAGGACAAGCAAATTGGTCGACCGTCAGCCGTCCACCGGAGCGATGGAGCGGCAGGTCGCGGCTGTCCAACCTGTCTCTGTTTTGTCCCGTTTTTGCCCTGATTCTCAGCTGTTGACCTGCTTTCTAACCTCTCCAATCGTTGGTCAACCTTAACCAGGTGGGCCAACAGTTGAGCCATCATGGTCTCCATCGTGTCGGCCCCTGTGGGTGGGGATTTTGTTTCCCAAAATAGCACGCGTTGGCTTTGAGATTGTTATCAGTCCGATCCAATAAGCCACCTGCTATCAGTTGCATCAGACTGTAATACTGCGTCTCGGCTTGTCGTTCGTTATCAGTTGCATCAGATTGTAACTAGTAGCTAGGCCTACCCTAGTTACATCCACCCCTGCCTTTTTTTGTGTGTTTTCAACCACAAACAACGCCTGGCAGGTGCACTCCTCCAAAGTCAATCGCACAATCGTAAAAAAAAATTTTATTGTTCCACTCACTGTCCACGTCGTCCCATTCGTATACGATTGACAGTTATACCTATTTCACATATCAACTGTGTCTACCTCATCTTCCTGAGACACAAAACAGTTCTAGAATTCACATCCACCCTTTTCGTTTGGTGCCTTCACCAGTTCACTTTTATAGCTTTTTGAACCGTCTGTTCTCATACCAGCGCGACCATGAAAGACTTGATGGTTGCTGACAAAAAATTTCGTCTTCCTCCTGTTCCTCAAACTTCTCCGCGGACCACTTATCTGATGGTCTACTGTCTCTCTGCTTCTGGAAGGAACGGGATCCTCTTTGTTGCCGTTATCCTCCACTTGTGTATCGCGGTTGTTCTGTTGATGGTGATATGGTTCCGGGATGGGTATGTGAATTTCCGTTATAGTTTCCGGTTCCCTAATTGTCTTGGATTTCCTTGTGTGTAACTGCTCTTCTTGCCTATTCCAATATTTCTTTAATTGAGCAATATTCGCCCACCGATCCGGTTTGGCGTGATCGATGGGTCTTATCTTAAAGGGGCCACCTGCTACTTTAGGCATCTCCACGACTTGCCATATCTCCTGTCCCCAGAGATCGTGGATTTTGTTTCTGCCTAACGGGTGGCTACGCAGTAATACCCTGTCGTTCAGTTTGAGTGGCGGGTCCTTTGTCTGTACCGGCGGTTCCCTTCGCCGTGCTTCATGTTCTAGTCTTTCCTGTACTACCCTGTACATTTCTCTAATTCTTCTCATATGTTCATTCACATATTCCAGTGCGGTGTATGAGCCAGTCATACTCTCCCTTTTTCCTAGGAACAAATCAAGAGGGAGTCGAGCCTCCCGTCCGAATAGCAACATGTGTGGCGCAAAGCCGGTTGTGGCATGGGGTGTGCAGTTGTATATATATACCAACTCTGGGAGAAAATCCGGCCAACGTTTTTTCTGTTCGGGTTCTAGGGTACGCAGCAAATCATGCATGCTACGGTTGAACCGTTCACACTGTCCGTTTCCTTTCGGATTAAATGTGGTTGTTCTAGATTTGTTGATCCCGTAGTGGCTGCACAGTTGGTTAATTACTTCTGACTCGAAAGCCCTTCCTTGGTCAGAGTGTAATTGTCTTGGTATGCCATATTTGATGAACCAGTGTTCTATTAAGACCTTTGCCACTGTTTTGGCAGTCTGATCTCGTGTGGGCACCGCCACAGTCCATTTGGTGAATACATCAGTCATTACCAACACATGTTCCGTCCCATCCGATGATTGCTCCAACGACGTAAAGTCCATAGCCACAATCTCTAGTGGTTTTGTCGCTAATAGGTGTCCCGATGGCTGTCTCATTTTGACAACTGGCATTTTCGCATGCTGACACCTCACACAAGCCTCACAATGGCGTTTGACCTCCATTTCCATATTGGGCCAGTAACACCTCTGTCGTAATATTTTGTGCGTCCTGTCCTGACCCTGGTGTCCTGCCCTGTCATGTGCCAACCTTAGCACTTCTTCTCGTAATTGTCCAGGCACCACCACCTGGTGTATTGTCCCATCAATTTGGTCATGAATTCTCCGCATGAGAACACCATCCTGTATACTGAGACGGTCCCACTGACTCAGTATTTTCTTTGTTTCTCGACCAAATTGTTCTCTTTCCCTTCTTCCTGGGAATTTTTGTTCCTGGACGTGTTTCAACAGCGGCTGTAAGCCACTATCCGTTCTCTGGGCATCTCTTATCTCTTTGTGATTAAGGCAACTAAAATCACCAATGTCCCTATGTCCGGGCTCTGTGGAAATGTGCTCCACCCCGGTCTGTCCGTTCTGCCTCACTTGCACCCCGTGAGGGATATCTGTTGACGCTCTGACCTCACATAGTCCTGTCAGCGTTTCTTCCTCATCGCCCGGTCTCTCGTAAGGATTCCTTGATAAGGCGTCCGCATTGCCATTGGACCGCCCCGGGCGATGTTTTCTCTCTAGGTCAACGAGTGCCAATTCTGCTGCCCATCGCTGTTCGATGGATCCCAGCCTTGCTGTACTTTGAAGTTCTTTTTCAATATCGGATAATTTCTCTTCAAGTCTTGTTTGAGACTCTTTCATTTCTTCTAGTTTGCCAACACTGTTCTGTTGTCTACTATTTTTATTTACTTCTTCCGATAACAGACACTCTAAAGATGAACATTTCTCCTGTGCTTTTAATTTGCATGACCTTTCCCTATCCAGTTTCCTGGTTAACATTGAGATCTCATTCTTAAGTCTACCAATTTCCTTCTTATCATCATTTTTCTCTACCAACAAATTGTTCACTTGAAACTTTTCAACATCCCAGTTCATTTCACAGTTCATTTTTTCCATTAGTTGTGTTTTACCTTTCTTTTTCTCCTTACTGTGTTTCTGTGTCATTTTGTTTACTAAGTCATTACCTCGCCGCTCTGTAGCCTTGACCTGCCGTACAGAGGGCGATCGTTTCACCGGACAGTACCGTGCCATATGTCCGGGTTGTGAACAGGACAAGCAAATTGGTCGACCGTCAGCCGTCCACCGGAGCGATGGAGCGGCAGGTCGCGGCTGTCCAACCTGTCTCTGTTTTGTCCCGTTTTTGCCCTGATTCTCAGCTGTTGACCTGCTTTCTAACCTCTCCAATCGTTGGTCAACCTTAACCAGGTGGGCCAACAGTTGAGCCATCATGGTCTCCATCGTGTCGGCCCCTGTGGGTGGGGATTGTCTCTGTTCAGGCACAGAGACTTTGTCCACCGAACAGTTCGATTGGTCCTCATCCTCGGACCTGCGGATCGCTGAGTTCCTGACCTGTAGGAAGGTCAACTGCGGGTCTTTGTGGACCTCCTCTTTCAACTCTCTTCTTAGGATCGGGGTTGCTAGCCCCTCGATGAAATGGTCCCTCAGTAGGCGCACATCGATGTCAGGTGTTTTGACCTTTACCGAATCAAAGGCCCTGTTCATCCGGTGTGAGTACTCCATCACACTCTCCGCCATTCTCTGCCTTAAGCCTACGAACCCTGCCAGCAGTTGCGATCCCGACCGTCTCTCCCCAAAGGTCTCCATAATCAGATCCAGCACCTTGTCTGGATCTGATTGGATGGTTTTATCGTGGCATTTGACCTCTGCCCTGACCGTCTCTCCTATACTTCCCATCAGCAGTCTTAATCTTTCCTCTGGTGACATGTATCTTGAGGCCCAGGCCGCTTTGACCTCTTCACTGAACCTGTTGGTTAAAGTTGGATCACCGTCCCCGTAAAATTTGTTAATGTGGGACTCTCTGGGTAGGACCACTATATGGGTCTGCTTCTCGTCCAGAGTAGACATTTTATTCCGTAAGTAACAAAAAAAGAGTTCTTTCTTACCGTGTGTGTATGAAAAATTTTTCTCGTTCCTCAATTTTCACAGTTCCTGAATGTCCGAATTCACACACACACTAAACACAGTTATGCACAAGGTTGACTATGGGTGCCTAAAGCGGCAAGTCTAGTTGAATTCATCCTGTCCGACGACGCCAATTGTAACGAGCGAACAGTTACCCTGCTCGCAACGCCACATGTTACGAGACTATTTGCCTGTAGTGCCAAATGTAACGAGTTTAACCACTCATGCTACACAACATCGACTACAGTAGAAATACTCGAAGATGCAGGTTCGCTATTGATCCTTTTATTACATGAATCAAGAAATGCTTCAACATAACACAATGAATCAACAGGAATGCTTCACAATAATAGTCTGAATCAACTGACCCCTGACAGTCCTCACTAGGCTTCATATAACTGAATCCACATGTCTATTGTCCTTCTTAACACAATATAACCAACTTGATATGTCACACAGACTGACTGATCTAAAGCGAGCGATGAAGAGAGCGAGCGATCGAAAAGGGAAGAGAGCGAGTTCCGCCGTCCCCTCCTATTTATCCCTTGTATTCGTACTCGTATTCGTACTTGTATTCCTCCGTAATCGATACTTGTACTCGATGTCTCCGACTACTAGTTGCGCAGTTCTAACGTACAGTCCGATTAATAAACATCTGCATCCTATCAATCAAAGTTGACAGGCCGTCTGAATCCCCTCGTACCGTTTCCCAAAATAGCACGCGTTGGCTTTGAGATTGTTATCAGTCCGATCCAATAAGCCACCTGCTATCAGTTGCATCAGACTGTAATACTGCGTCTCGGCTTGTCGTTCGTTATCAGTTGCATCAGATTGTAACTAGTAGCTAGGCCTACCCTAGTTACATATATATATATATATATATATATATATATATATATATATATATATATATATATATATGTTGTGTGTGTGTGTGTGTGTGTGTGGTGTGTGTGTGTGTGTGTGCGTGTGTGTATGTATGTATGTATGCAACTTCCAAGCTCATTAACAAAACGCTGAACTGAGAGTATTGAAATCACGAATGACAAATTGTCCTATTGACGCGATAAGCTAATTTTCTCAACCTCCCTCTAATGGCGTCATTAAAAACAGCTCTCTCTTTCTCTTTCAACTGCAGCATTTTTTTTCTCTCCTTTTGCCGCCACACTTCCATAAGTACCCGGCACCCACTTCCATAAGTACCCGGCCCCCACTTCCATAAGTACCCGGCCCCCACTTCCATAAGTACCCGGCCCCCACTTCCATAAGTACCCGGCCCCCACTTCCATAAGTACCCGGCCCCCACTTCCATAAGTACCCGGTCCCCACTTCCTTAAGTACCCGACCCCCACTTCCATAAGTACCCGGCCCCCACTTCCATAAGTACCCGGCCCCCACTTCTATAAGTACCCGGCCCCCACTTCCATAAGTACCCGGCCCCCACTTCCATAAGTACCCGGCCCCCACTTCCATAAGTACCCGGCCCCCACTTCCATAAGTACCCGGCCCCCACTTCCATAAGTACCCGGCCCCCACTTCCATAAGTACCCGGCCCCCACTTCCATAAGTACCCGGCCCCCACTTCCGTAAGTACCCGGGGCCCACTTCCATAAGTACCCGGCCCCCACTTCCATAAGTACCCGGTCCCCACTTCCATAAGTACCCGGCCCCCACTTCCATAAGTACCCGGCCCCCACTTCCATATGTACGGGGCCCCACTTCCATAAGTACCCGGCCCCCACTTCCATAAGTACCCGGCCCCCACTTCCATAAGTACCCGGCCCCCACTTCCATAAGTACCCGGCCCCCACTTCCATAAGTACCCGGCCCCCACTTCCATAAGTACCCGGTCCCCACTTCCATAAGTACCCGGCCCCCACTTCCATAAGTACCCGGCCCCCACTTCCATAAGTACCCGGCCCCCACTTCCATAAGTACCCAACCCACACTTCCATATGTACCGGGCCCCACTTCCATAAGTACCCGGCCCCCACTTCCATAAGTACCCGGCCCCCACTTCCATAAGTACCCGGCCCCCACTTCCATAAGTACCCGGCCCCCACTTCCATAAGTACCCGGCCCCCACTTCCATATGTACCCGGTCCCCACTTCCATATGTACCGGGCCCCACTTCCATAAGTACCCGGCCCCCACTTCCATAAGTACCCGGCCCCCACTTCCATAAGTACCCGGCCCCCACTTCCATAAGTACCCGGCCCCCACTTCCATAAGTACCCGGTCCCCACTTCCATAAGTACCCGGCCCCCACTTCTATAAGTACCCGGCCCCCACTTCCTAACCAAATCATTCAAGATCTCGCGGCAAGAGATCCCACTTAACCCGTGCACCCATTTCAAACGCCGAGCGCCTTCATCCATCCGGAGGCTGTACACCCCCCCCCCCCCCCCGCACCATGATACCATAACGCCTGCTAAAAACATCTCACTCTCGAAACAACACGGCCCATATCTCACGAGAACTCGTCTAATCTTTCAAGATTTTTCTACCCATCTTCCGTTAAGTGCGTTTTAGTTATAAAACAAAGTTCAATTTTTTTTAAACCGGTAAACGTTTCGCCTTTAAGTCTTATATTAGTTACAATTTACGCTAGTTAAAAAAGGAAATTTTTTTAAAAAGTTACCGCCTTTGGATGATTATGTCGAAATGGTTGAATTGTAACAATGTTCAAAATTTGATCAGCGCAAACTTCAAAGGCGGGCGATCAAGCGCGGGGCGTGCAATTTTTGCCGCTGATGGTTTGTACACGTGCGAGATGTGCATGGGCCGCAGGGCGTCATCGGTGGAGCCGGCGCCCTGATGGCCTAATGATCGTTTAGCGAAAAATATGAGACAGGTTGATACGAAAAGCAGGCTGGTTAAATATTGTTCGCGGCGTGAAACATTAGGCCTGCGCGCAGTTCATTTCCGTGCATAAAGCGGTCGATCCGGTGCTGATGGAGACCTTGGGTCGAAACACTTACTTGACGCTGTACGGGTGAAAGGTTAAGTTTTTTTTTTAAAGTTCTTGTAGCGTTAAGGGCAGGTAATAAGGACGGCTAAAACTTTTTAGTCAGATAGGGCAGGGTTTAGTCAGGCATGCAGTGGATTTTAGTCAGATGTAGTGGATTTTAGTCAGACAGAGTGGATATTAGTCAGAGTGGATTTTAGTCAGGCAGAGTGGATTTTAGTCATACACCCTGTATTTTATCCATGCATCCTGAATTTTAGTCAGATACGGAACATAGCTAGTGAGATACAACGCGGATTTGTTAAACGTGGTCTATAAACTGATGTACTTGGATCAAGTTTAGGATTAGCCCACAAACCGAGGTACGGGGTTCAGGTTTGGGTTTAGCCAATGACGTTTATACCTTCAAGTTTATTTAGCCAATGATCTGAGCGGCTAGTATAAAAAGCTGGAATACCATGCACCATTTAAAACTATAGCAGTTATTATGGGAAGACGATTGTATCTTCACCATATACTCATCTAGGGGTTGTATTGCATTGAGCCTCCACTCGCGACTGAAATGTTTAGAAACCTAAGGCTAAATTCGTCCTTGCCGCTAGCACACGATACTTTACGTCCATACATCTGTACGTGGCATTCTAGACGTACCAGGAACTAGATCCTGTCTGATTTCATCCTTGATTGAAATAAATGCCTGCTTGTTTGATGAACTTTAATGCCAATACCACAACACTTTGATCTCTGTGAGAAATAACACAAAATCTACTCATGCATGAAGAACCATCCCATAATTTTCTTTTGATCATCTAGGCATGAATGGATTAACAACAAGATTGCCCGATTTAATTTCCTTTACAGTTGCAAGAACGTAAATGTGTCTACATGAATTTGTTGTAATATATCAACAATTTTTTTCCAATTACTTTTCTTAAAATCATTTGAATGCGTAAATCCATGCAACTTGTTGAGTCAAGTATGAATACACAAGACATACAAGAAATATTCAAGTGAACACAACACATTTTATACGCGCATGTTGACAAATTGTTACCGACCAGAGTCCTACACTCTTGAGCAATATAAACTGTCAGCGTCATTCAAATCGACCACGTGACATTTCAATAGTCAAATCACGTGACGGCACCTGCGGTGATATCACGTGACATATGTTTAACCTTTAACCTTTTGTGTTCTCCATCAAGGACTGATCAAAGTTGTGTTTGGTGGTTTACTTTTCACAACCTCAGTTCTAACCTAGAGCCTGACCATAACCTTAACTATACTCTTTACTGTAGCCATTACCCCAGACATAACCTGGAATTCTACCCTAATCGTAAAGATATACATCTATCCCTAACGGCAAGGGTCGGAATGGTCGGGTCGGTAAAGCTCTTGGCTGTTACACCGAAGAGTCCCGAGTTCGAACCCCCGTACAAAAGATTGCTGGGCACAGCAACTTATATTGGAAGGGAACATAGAAATACGTAATACTTAATTGTGTGGCATGAGATCCCATACAAAACTACAGTTAAATAGGGAAAACACATACAATTACTCGCAATAAAATTGATTGGCTTTTTTTAAAAAAATTCCATTCTCACACATCTTCACCCAACCCCACCAAAACGGATTCAAGTTAAACCTTACACATTTCTAAACTTTTTATCTAAATAAATATTCTCACCCCCCTCCCCCACCCTCCCAGAATGAAAGAAACCGGTAATCCACAAACTTTACTTTCCATTGACCAGTAATCCAGTCCAAGTTTCTACCTGGTCCAGACTAGGTAAGACGGATGGTTTTCCCGCTCGTTTCTGAAATTATCAAACCTGCACCGACTCTCTCTCGTCTGCCAGATTAGGACGCCATCTTTAAAAAATGGCCGCCATTATTGGAAAGTTGAAAGTCTGTAGTTAAACATAGCTTAGGCTAGGGTTTGGTGGTGGATTATTGATGGGGGAGGGGCGGGGGAAGATACATCTATGTTAGAAATGTATACTCAAATATTCTTTCGATGAAAATAAGGGGAAAATTGGTGTTCTTTTGCCATACACAAAAGTAAACGTAAACAGCCCACGCATTTGTCCATATGCTTACGTCATCACAGAGTGTCCAGTACGTTGTCTAGCTGTTGTAACTTGAACCAACTTATGCCAGGAACTTAAAAGTGCTGGGTACTCATCTCTCTCTCATTAAGTCGCTGAAAAATGTACAAACCTTTAAACTATGTTATACCAATGTTAAGCTTCGGGTAACAGCAAAATAAAGTAATGTCAACTAAGCGAAATACGACGAAACAAAACAACTGAAATTGAAAATTGCTTGGAGGAAAGTTAAGCTGTAAACAATTGAGAAATATGAAGCGTTTAATACGTTGAGATTGATTTGAAGAGATTCGGTGTCTGGATGAGCTATTCCCCTGGTGCACATTTCTGTGCTATTTGCAGGAAAAATAAAATTCAGATTTAGATTCGAGAATCGGATGTGAGGTAATCAAAAACAAATTTGTTTTCAACGTCATTTGTTTTTTTTTTAATTAAAAAAAAAATGAAAGAGGAAGTTTTCAAATATTGTGCAAGCTTTGACAAAATGTTAGCAGTTTGATCGTTGTTGTGTTACGTGTAGTGGTATGAATAAAATTATGGAACACTTGAAAATAGCGTTTTGTGGAAGAATTAATTATGAGATGAATATTAATTAATTCATTACCAAAATTTTAAATAGGCATTAGTGATTTTATTTTTTTTTTTTTTTTAAAGTCTGAAAAATAAAAAAAGAATGATCTGATTTTTTTCCCTGGCCATTTTACGGTGATGATTTTTTTTTAGTGCTTTTAATGAAGATAACAAAACCGTATTCGTTAGTCTTTACAAACTGTGTGTTTTGGGTTCAACATGTTGATATACTCGTACCGTTTAAAGAGTTTCTCAGCTTTTGAGTATGGCGATACATGGTATATGGGTGGGCTTGCAATGGGAGACATTCACCACATGGTATATGGGTGGGCTTGCAATGGGAGACATTCACCATTTGGTATGTGGATGGGCTTGCTACGGGAGTTGCGCCCCACACCAAGAACTGACCTCTGACAGTGTCACAGTCCAGCATAAATCTCCACGGTCTTATCTGACCGTTATCCGGGCGGGGTGTGTTTTCAGTTTAAACACCGCTAAACCACACCGCTAAACCACACTGACCACACAACTAAACCACACCATTAAACCACATCGCTAAACCACACCACTAAACCACCCAACTGACCACCCAAATGACCACACAACTGACCACACAACTAAACCCCTCCACTAAACCCCACCACTAAACCACACCACTAAACCACCTAACTGACCACACACCTGACCACACAACTAAACCACACTAACCACACAACTAAACCCCACCACTAAACCCCACCACTAAACCACACCGCTAAACAACACGGTAAACGGAAAAAAAGTCACAGGAAAAAAAAAACACAGAAAAAAAGTCACAGTTTTTGCTAGGAAAAAAAGTCACAGAAAAAAAGTCACAGTGGAAAAATTTTATTGGAAAAAAAGTCACAGAAATAAAGTCACAGAAAAAAAGTCACAAAAATCTTTTTAGAAATATTTTTATTAATTTGATAAAAATTGTAAAATTTTGTATGTTTATTGTTGTGGGTTGTATTTTTTGATAGCATAAATTATTTATAGACGTTAAAAGCATTATGATTTATAACAATTGTAAGTAAAAAAATACTCTAAGATAATTAACACAACAATCTCAACATTTGTTACGTATTTAGTTAAATACGCGGTAGAAAAGTTAATTATAAAAGAAAATTAGGCAAATTTTGCCGTAGGCTATACTCTAGACGACCTCTCCTCAGTAGGCATTGTCCGAACATATTGTGTGTTGTTGACGTTATGCGTCATCCACAGCCTTTGAACCTTGTCGGCTTTCTGTTTTGAACCTAAGTTTTGTCATGTAATGAGCGTGATAAATGTGGGAAGTAAAGGTGGTTGAACTAAACATAACTATTGTTGCCATGAGTTGAGGGCAGCAAGTCAGATGAACTTACCATTTCACGGTAATTTAATTATGGTATTTAAAAAAAAAACCACGATGAAAAACTTGGACTTTAGAGCATTCTATTAAACGCTACTAATCTTAAGTTATAAATAATTACAATCTACATACTTCATAATAAATATTTTTAGATGAATTATAAAAATTCCTATGCGTATACAGCCTACACACATTACATTACATGTAATTA